CACTCAGTGCAACAATGCAAACCCAGATCAGCCAGGGTCGCAAAGTTGGTTTTGAAAGATTGCTCATCGTCCGTCCCGTAATTTCGATGTCCCAGCTAAAATCGAAGGTCCCCGTCTAACGAGAGATGGCGAAGATGCCAACTCGGAATACGACCAACAGAGCCCCCGAAAGATGAAAACGGGCCCGGTAGCTACGGTAGTAAGGGGTAATCACCGTACGCGCACATAGGACCTATATCGGACGCTGATGAGACTTAAAAATCAGACATAAATACAGCTCTATACCAAACGCAAGGAATTTACCTGGAGGACAGCGGCAAAAGTAGTCATTGGAGGCGTCACCGGAAGCTCCGCTGCGGTGTTCACAAGTGCCATTATTTAAGCAGGGCTGCGAATCACAGGGGAGTTCCCGCAACTCACAGAACTCGCCCTTCCAACCGCGAACACAGTGGCATCGGAACCCGCCGATGAGGTCTTCACACTGACCATTATTCTGGCAAGGTGATCCGCTGCACTCATTGATATCCGTTTCACAGAGCCTGCCTTCGTAACCTTTAACAGTAAAAAAAAAAGAAACGAAAGATGTACTAGCATAGACGCGGAGGGTGTCGCCCAAAGACGGTAGACGTGAAGAATTGTAGCAGGTAATTCTTATTTGACAGGAAGTTTCGATCATACGACCCATATTAACGATCCCTATAAAACTCTAATTTCTTTAAGAGGGTATGTGATAGGTCTTCCAATTGATGGGACGGGAAGGTGAACAAATACGAAGCTAGCTGACATTGGTTATTGTGATTGTGGGGTAGAAGGCCACTGGCGATTTGCTGTTGTAGTATAGGGCAGCTTTTAATGTGAATACGAACGTTCGAGGCCCAAAAGTTAGAGTGGTTAGAGGTTACGGTTGGTCGACAGCCGGAGCAATTGGTTTACTATCCTGAGCTCTCGAACTCACACAGAAGTCTATCGTCAGAGGTAGCAACAACGACAGAAAAGACTGCTAGGAGCAGGCCTAACAGACTCGTTATCACGCTGTCCTGATGACTCCTCACACGGTGCACTATCGATCGGCAGATGAGATCGCACAAGCAGCCGGCCGGGATTAGTCTTCTGCCCTATCACTAGGGTGGGCCGGAACTGCCAGTCGGATCACAATTTGATTGGTCCAATCTTGTACGCGTTGCTTGCTATAAGTACGCTGTACTAGGTATGCTAAAAGACTTCTACTTTTGCGCCCCTTCTTATTGCGTTCTTCCTCAGGGGTTCAATCAAGGTGTAATTAGGCGGTAACATCTCGAATTTTGGCTAGATTTACAACAGTGACGACACTTGTGGGGGGGTGGGGCACAAGCCAACCAATGATCAAATACGCAAGTCCGGAGGTG